TGGTTTAATTTGGTTCATCTTGTGCAATCCCGCGCTATGAAATTTAATATGAACAAAGAAGATAATTCCATGCGATGAATTAATATAAACATTGGTTTAATTTGGTTCGCCTTGTGCAATCCCGCACTATGCAATTTAATATGAACAAAGAAGATAACTCCATGCGATGCAATTAATATAAACAAATTAATTTGGACCTTGTAAGATTAAACCAATAATTTAAACTTTAATGTGAAATGAATTTTATTTATCTTTTTTCATAAGTAGGCATCCACGCGGCAAGTTACGTGTGTAATCGTGTGAACGAATCGCCACGCAAAAAAACCTTATGTTTTACTCCAAGTTGCATGTGTAATTGTGTGAATTAATAATAAGGCAAGACATCTTGTTCACTACAAGCTGCGGGTGCAATCACATGAACTAACTATCAGACAAAGACATTCTTTGTTCATTGAAAAATTGCCTTAATAGAGAAACAGCGAGAATACAGGGACCTTGCATCCCATTTAATACATTTTGCACCATTTTTAATACATTCACGAATAATCACGCCGAAAAGTAAACAAGCGTGTTATGGGTACAATAAGGGTAGGCGCGCGGCGTCGCAAAGATGTCTGAATTTATATAAAACGATTCATTTTCGGTCTGATGTCTGTTTTTATTGAATAAACACCAATTTACTTCACACAGCAAACTTAAGTCTCATAAACCATAAAGCCGTGTATAATCAAAGATCAATGTGTTAATGAATGAATTCGACGAGTTTGTCGTCGCGGGCGTGTAATGTCGAAAAGGGTGTTTTGGACTTGGCACGAGATAGATGAACGCGTTATAAATGAGTTTGGTGCTTTTTCATCAATCCTTTGCCTTTGTTAAATGTTGCCTTTCCTCTGTACACGTATCTTTTCATTTATACATTGTATTTCATTAAAAGTTCCAAAGATCCTAACTATATTATAATTAGGTGGTGTCATTACTTGTACCACATGGGATTTTTCTGCTACTTACACTAGCGACACTATGATAGATTAAAATATTTTAAGTGGAAAACTGAAGTTATCTTTTCTTCGTGTATAAAAACGCCTGTGATCTTGAGGCACGCCTAGAGAGGTGTCGGTGATGATAACATGTTCAAACAAAAAAGTACAAACATAATTTTTTTTGAAGTGTGTACAAAAGTGTTTTATAAGTTCTTTGGCAACAAATTCATTTTTTTTTTTGGAGGCATGTATGACGTTCGACCCAGGAATCCCTTTGTTCTTAATAGAAGTTTGTTTTTCAGAATTTCGTGATATTGAGTGTGGACGTAAAAGTTCTTCAAGAACACGCGCTTTCTCCCTTTGTGGTGGCGCTTAAAAAAGAACCTTTAAAAACTATGCGTTCTCTCTGGGGCGGTGTGTATTAAAGTTCTTAAGAGCCACACGTTTTCCATTTTGGGGCAGTCGTACGTGAGTTTTTGAGGAACCAGACATTTTCTCTTTCGGGGAAGCCCGTATGTAAGTTTACTAAGAACCACACGTTGTCCCTCTAAGAAATAAATTTTTTCGAGTTATCTCGATATACTGTATAATATAATAAAATTTTTAATTTTTTTTTATTATGTAAATTTTATTGAATAGAAATAAAATTACTGTGAATAGCTTAATCAAAATTGCAAGAAAAAAGGCGATTATATATTAAACAGATTTTAAAAGTCATCAATTATTTCAAAAAAAAAATTGTTGTGAAAACATACAATACACTGTATATACAGTACGTGAAATTCATTTTCACACATGCATTTAATGCTTATAGCTTACACGTATCTTTATATTTGTATTTGCAAAATACACCAATCCAAAAAACGAAATAAAATGCCTTGTTTTTATGTATCCTATTGAATGCATTTATTACTGATGAAAACTGTGAAAAAAAAACTATTTAAGGCCAACTCTTCCGTTCAAGACCTCTCCTCAATTTCCCAGTTTCATTGATTTTAGATCACATGGACATTCCTTCTCGTATAAAAAACATTGTGGAGGATAACACCTTGCGCGCGATTCTGTTCAATAGGATCCCCGACTCAAACGCAGTCTTTGATGCGATCAGAGAAAATAGCAAATGGTCTAGAGATGATGAAATATTTATGGGATACCACGCCTTTGCTACCGTAGTGCGTATAGAAGCGGGTACACTACTAAATGTAACTGACTCCAGAGCCTTAAAGTACGCATCCTCGATTCTCTGGGCGGAAGCTCCACCGCAAACGAAGCAAAATTATATTGATTGTGCTCGACAAGTCTATTTAAATATCTGTCGACGATTCTGGCCGACGTAGCCTTGAAATTAAAGAAATTTATTGGAAATATTTTATTATACATCCTTAATACTATAAATCTAGAACATTAGATGCCTACGATTCTTCCCTTTTTATATAGATTTTTTTTTTTTTTACTATTCCATAAAGCAATCGGACTTATGGATATCGAATTAAATACTCGTATGATTTCTCCTTTTATTAGCTCGTACCGATTCAATCTTCCTTTTCGTTTTGTTCATTTGGTTTTTCGACTTACCAATATGAAACCTAATATAAATTGGCAATCTCCAAAATAGCTAAGGTGGCAAAATATTAAATAGAATTCGATTTTTACTTCACTAGTAAAATATTAGATAGAACTCGATTTTTACTTCACTAGTAAAAATATTTAAAACATATATCGTATATAGTCCTACGCTTACACTCTAGACTAAGAATATAATATAATACATTGTAAAATTTAAAATTTTAATATTTATTTGGTAAATAATAAAAAAAATGGCAATAATATTAAAATGGTATAAAAAATTGGTTTAACAACTTGATTATAAAGGTCTGTCGCTAACCCGAGGTCATCGATCGCGTCTCGATAGGATCAGGTAATCCCTTACTTCTTGGGGCGCTGGTCTTGCTTTATTCAATCAATTACTTTACTCCACAGGTCCGGCGAAATTCCAACATCAGATTATCGTTATGCAAGTTACAAAAAGCCAATCAATCGTCGTCATGCAAATCATAATTTGCGTCACCATCACATGTTCATGCAATGCCCGTACTGCGCCTCGTTCCTCCAGTATTAATGTTTGATTCGCAAAAAATCTTTATTTTAAATTCGTACCGGTTGTAAAAATCTTCAAATGATATACAGTATGTAAGAAGCAATTTCAATGTCAGTTTATACTTAATGACAATTGATTCCTGAATCTCTGGTATATAGTAAACACATAATATTCTACTATATTTTAAATACTTCAAAATTTTTAATATTTTGAATTAATAGAAATATTAAACACATTAACTTAAACTAAAATATTAAAGAAATATTAAACACATTAACTTAAATTAAAATATCAAAGAAATAGTAAATACTGCATATTAAAAATACATATCAGCTTATGATATTTGAACAAAAGTATTTAAAAAATTAAATTCACTAAAAATCTTTAAAATAATAATGATGATCATTCAATATATAAAAAAAAAACTAAAATTGAAATTCTTTATATTTTAACTTGATATTTTCAAAATTAATGATAGAATTTGAAATTTGATAAAAATTGCATTTTGTTGATTTGAATAAATATGCTTAAAATAATTTTTTAATGGCCAATAATTCAAAGTCAAAAAAAATATTATAATTGTATTATTTATATTTATCAAAAAAATTGTGTAAAGCAATAATAAATTGTAGAATGTAAATAATAAAAAAATTATGTCAATTTTTTTTTGTTTTATAAAATTTTTACATACAAGAATTATAAAATAAAACAAAAATGCTTATTAACCTTATTTATTAATTTAACTATACAAAAAACTTTTTTTCATAAATTCATCTATTAATACATAATTTTTTAATTATACTGTATTTATCATAAAAAAATGGTAAGATATTTCATATGGAACAATTCTTTTCGAGTAATTTACTAATTTAATGAACTACTGCCATTCAAATATTTTTATTACTAGTTAATATTTTTTAAAGTATAATATTAAAAAAAAAACTTTTTTTTTGAACAATTTAAATAATTTAATTCAAATTATTTTTTTTAAAAAATGTTTCCATTAAATAACAAGTCACGATATTAATAAATAAATAAATCTGCATGTGTATTATTATTTTAAAAAATATTATTAATCTTAATATTTTTATTTTTATTAGAATTTAATTAAAAAATTGATATTCGGCAATTCATTATTCTAGCGAATTACCAATAAACTATTTTGAAAAAAACAAACAAATAAATTAATAATGTGAATTAATAATAAATAAGATAGTTGCTTAAATTGTTTATTTGTTAAATAAAAATTTTTTGATCGTATTGAAATATTAATTTGATCGGGTTTTTATTATAACAAATTGAATATCGTACAAAATTAAATGTTGATGTTAAAACAATAACAAAGTTGATTTGATAAGATGATTTTTTAAAAAATCAAAATTTTCAGTATATCGTATTAAATATTATAAAACAGAAGAAATGTAAGACTGTTATCGTCACCGGCGAGTCTGTCGCTAAAACGGTTCACTCTTCGCGTGACGATAGTCCGAACGCTTGGATTTCGG